ACTGTGGTACATCCAGACAATGGACTACTATTCAGCACTAAAACAAAATGAGCTATCAAGTTACAAAAAGACAGAGAAGAAACTTAAATGCATATTAGTAAGTGAAAACAGCTAATCTGAAAAGGCTACATACTGTATGATTCCAACTATGTGACATTCTGGAAAAAGCAAAACTACGGAGCCAGTGAAAAAATGAGTGGTTACCAGGGATTTAGAGGAGTGTGAGGGATGAACAGGCAGAGCACAGAGGATTTTTAAGGCAGTGAAACTATTCTACATGACACTATAATGATGAATACTTGTTATTAGACATTTGTCAAAACCCACAGAGTGTACAACACCAAGAGGGAACCTTAATGAAGAGGGTGTTGATAATGGGGAGGCTATGTATGGGTGGGGGTGGGGGGTTAATGGAAACTCTTTATATTAATACTTTCTGCTCAACTTTCCTGCGAACCTAAAACTGTTCTTAAAAATAGTCTCTTAAAAATGTGCATATACAATACTCCTTACTGTGAATTCAATATAGTCAATTTATTCTCACAAAATGCTTTTTTAAAATTTGTGCCAAAATCTTATATTCATAACCAACTTATGGTTTCAAATGATGACTGAGTGTAGCTCGGACATAAATGTTGGTTGATTTCCTTTGTTAATGAGTAAAAGAAAGTGAAATATAATGGAGACATATGTCGGAACTTCACAGGTTCATTAGTGATGCAAGTGACTTTTTTGCAGAGCTGGATATTAGTTTTTGAATACTGAAAAAATATTTTGTGCCATTCACAATATAATGACTACAGATACAACACACTTTAAAGTTTAACCTGCATTATTAATATTTCTCCATCACTTTCTCAAGTCAAGAAATCAATGCACAGTAAATCAAGCCATGATTTGTAGCGTTTGTCTATTTCACTCTACAAATGCTCCCACCATTGCTAATTTCAAGCTCCCAATGTGAAGTCACTGAACCAGGAGATGAAGAGAGAAGTAGCACATCATTACAGAGCGTTTGCACCACATGAATGCAACAGACAAAAATAACCTCAAGAGTATAAGAAATAGTGACATGTACTAAACAATTGGATGTGGTGAATTTTGAGCTTTATCTTTTAAAAAATATAACTGGTTTATATAACTTAATTTTTAACTATGGCTGTATTTAAAAGTGCCTCACAAAATTTCTGAAAATTTAACAATTAGTTCTCGTGTACTGGTATGAGCCAGTTCTGGGACCACACTGCCTGTGATGTCTGCAAAGGCAGAGACAAGAGAGAGCATGGCTAGAATTGCAAAGTTGTGGATAGAACAGCTATTTAACTTGTAACTGTATGAATGAATTCTCCTATTTCTCCTATTAACTACAGTTCTCATTGAGCTATTATTAGATTCCCTCTCAGCCTTGCCCGTATCTAAGTAGTTATTAAAAATAAATAAAATCTGATTGAAAAGTGCTGGGAATTCCAAATTTGCAGAACAGTTCCAAGTATAATACGAAGAGAATTAATATTTTTCCAGAACCATTTGTAAGGTGCTGATTTGATGCCCACCATCCCCAAGTACTTACTGTATATTTCCCAGACAAGAGCATTCTCTTACATAACCACAATATAAACACAATAATGAGGAAATGAACATCGATCATCACTACCATTTAATCTTTAAATCACATTCAAGTTTCTCCAA